GGTTAGCCTTGGGGTTCAGGGGAGCCTCGGTCAGCAGCACGGGGTGCTCCTCGGGAGCCACACGCAACTCGTTGTAGAAGGTGTGGTGCCAGATCTTCTCCATGTCGTCCCAGTTGGTGACAATACCGTGCTCAATGGGGTACTTCAGGGTCAGGATGCCTCTCTTGCTCTGGGCTTCGTCTCCCACGTAGGAGTCCTTCTGACCCATGCCTACCATGACGCCCTGCAGAGAAGGAGCGAGTTCTCAGTCCGGATCCACAGAGGGGAGGGTCCCCCACCGAGGACCACGCGGCTGGTGGCCCTACCTGGTGCCTTGGGCGCCCCACGATGGAGGGGAAGACGGCGCGGGGGGCATCATCTCCCGCGAAGCCGGCCTTGCACATGCCGGAGCCGTTGTCGACAACGAGCGCAGCGATATCGTCATCCATGGCGAGCTACCGACAGAAAGAACCATGACTAGAGGGTCGCGGGCGCGGTCGCCCCCGCCCTGCCCACTTCCGGCGCACAACAGCCTCGAGCCGCCAGGGGGCGCCGGAGCGCGCCCATCTTGGGGACAAAGGAAGCCCGGCTGGCCGTGTTATTACCATAAAAGGCAAACGCTGGTCGGAGGCGGCCCCGCTGCGCGCGGCAGGAAGCCAGGCCCCCGCCCCTCCCCACCGGGTGCCGGCTCCGCCTCAGCCCAGTTCAAACTGCGACCAGCTGGGCGGGCGGGCGCGCGCATGACGGCCACACCCGGCAGCGCGGCAGGAAGCGCGCGCATGCGCTCCAGCGGCTCGGCGGCCCCACCCCTTCCGGCCTACGGTCCCGCCCTCGCCCCGGCCAGCGACGCGTCGCTGAGCCCCAGTGCGCACGCGCAGTAGCGCCCCAGCCCCCACCCGGCCCGGCCGGCTCCAGAGCGCCCGCCCCGCCGAGCAAAGGGGCCGGCTTGGACAAAGACCCTTTCCCGGAGCGGAGAAGGTGCCGAGGCCCAGCGCCGGACCCCTGGAGGGGCAAGGGCGCACCTCATCAACCGCTAGTCGAGTAGCTTTGAGTGTCTACACCGCAATCCCAGTGGCTCTGTAGAGTCCACGCCGCGGCCCGAGTAGCTAAATCCCCACGCGCCCGCACTGTGACCCAAGTAGCTCCGAAGTGCCCGTCGCGGCCCAACTGGACCCCCAGAAGTGCCCACACTCCGACCCCGCGGCTGCGCACGGACACGGCGTAGGCCTCCTCGGGCCGGCCAGGGCGGGCCGAGTGGCGGGAGCGGGCCTTACCTGGTAGCGGTGTGGACCGGCGGCAGAGAAGGAAGAGGATGTTCTCGCGAGCTGGACGCGGACTCGGCAGTTGCTGCGCGTCGCGCCGCCGGGTTTTATAGGGCGCCACCGTGGGCCGCTCGAGCCATAAAAGGCAACTTTCGGAACGGCGCGCGCTGATTGGCCGCGCGCCGCTCACTCACCGGCCTCGCTGCACTGTGCAGCATTTTTCTACCCCCTCTCCCCTCCTTTTGCCAAAAAAAAAAAAAAAAAAAAAAAGAAAGAAAGAGGAAAGAGGGAGAAAGCGAGATTGAGGAAGAGGGTGGAGAGTTTTGGCGTTGGCCGCGCATAGGTGCTGGGGGCGGCCAGCCGGGAGGT